AAGGATATTTTGATATTTATATTAAATAAGCACATAGCTTTGTTTTGCCAATACTATTACGACAATCAAAGTAAAATTCTCCATAATTGTGCTAATTTTGATGAAAGTTTCAAATGTATTTAAAAGAAAAATATTAGAATCAGTTCAGATGGTTAAAATCAGTTGTAAAATGAACAAACAAAGTAATTTACATATTACATACAATACTTTCAAACCACGTTAATTACCAAAACGAGGGCATGGTGTACAAAAATACATCTTACTGCGTTAGTCACGAAGTAGAAATATGGTAATTAATACTGCTAAATCAGTCAATTATCGCACACAACTCGTAAATTATTACTTGAATATCTTTACTTTTCCTAAAATCTTAATACATTTTTCTCAAGTAGAATAGAATAGAATATAATAGAATAATTTTATTTCACCAATCAAGGGTCATACTATATGACATATATAATCACAAGCATAAAACATATGGCATGTAACAAAATATATCAACCAACAAATTGTGTATTGTATGGTAGAAGTGAAGACAATAAAGTAACTAAAGCTTAATTCGTATTATTGGAAAAACAAATAACACAGGCATAGTAATGTCAAAATAAGAAGTACATAAATAAAACAGTATAAAAAAAAGAAGAAAAAAAACACTTATTACTCATTACTCATTCGATATTCAAGTACAATAATATACATTCAATGGTCTGACAAATTTTTATTACTAGTACTACCTAACATAAGATTTCTTTTATTATAAATTTCGAGTAGGTATTTCGAAAAGACATTCAAGACTCTAGGGTCTTCCGAGGACATTAACCAAACAAATTTCTGCTTATTATTCAACATACAAAAGTTCTTATTTGATATTTCAATTTGTCTAAATAGTAGTTCTCTATTACTATCAAATTTTGTACAACACATGGAAAAATGAATTTCATCTTCTACAAGATTGGAAGAGCAACAGTTACAATACCTTTGATTTACTGGGATCTTCTTATATCTTCCTGTTTCTATATTCAATCTGTGTGCACTTACTCTAAACTTGGTGAAGAAAGTTCTTATATCTTTGTCCTTAATATGTCTAAAGTACACTTCTCTACAAAACCTTTGCTTAAACAAAGAGTATGTTCTAAGTTTTCCTTCAGTACCTGAGATATTCAAACACCAGTTGGTTTGGTACATTTTCACTAACTTGAGTTTAACAACATTTACTAAGTTCTTATTGGTTAAACCAGCATCAGAAATACCTAAATGCTTAAAACAATGTTGTACACAAGAAACCCAGCAAACTTTATTATCCGTAAATAATGTTTGACTTTCAATAAAGGCAGCAGATAGTAATTTGCTAACATTTCCACATAGCAGTCTTTGATAAAACTTAACATAACTACATATTACATCAATAAATAGTGGATACCGTCCTAGTTCACCGCATACTGCTTCATTTGATGTTTTTTTGTGTACACCCAGATTATTTTTAAAACTTTCATATGCATCTTATCACAGGACATATTTCCAAAGGATTTCAACAACACATAATCTGTTTTTTTAACAATAGAACTACTAATATTTGGTATACCCCAAATCTCACAACCATACAGAAGAATGGGATTAATATTATGATCAAAAAGATGGATGATAGTGTCAACATTTTGGTGTAGCTGACCAAAAAACCTAACTAATCTTAAAACTCAATTATGAATTTCTTGAAATATTTTTGACTCATGTGGAAGCATGCAGCTTTAAGTCAAGTTTTGGCTACGCAGTTTATGGCTCTCATGGCATTGATACAGACTAATTTATTTCTGTTGACAAGTTAAAGTCAGTTAACTCAAGTTGACACTTACAGGTGTTATTGAACAAAATAATCACTGTCATCAATTTTGCCTGCGTAAAATGATATTTATTATGCATTACATTGTCAATGTTAGACAAGTTACTAAATACAATCATTAAGTGTGGATGTACATCATATGGTAAACGTTGCTGCAATGGATCGATTAGGAGGAACATGTTTAATATAGAATTCTTGTCTGAATGCAAGTGTGGTATTGCTTTGGAAATTGTACATTATATATATTGTTAATTTTAAACATGTAAAACCTACCATCTTATTTCAGTTATTTAATAATTATAACGTTTTCGACTAAATATACTATGATTTTTTAATTATGTCATAAGCAAGTTAAATGTAAATCCACGTGAATTATGTAGAAAACTCAACCTTTAAACTTTTAATCACATTGAAATTAATAAAGAGAGTATGGATTTGTAATCATTAAAACATAAAAAAATGTAGAAAACTTTCGATTTGAACAGAATGTTGCGTTTCGTTCTATTTACTGCATTTGGACGTCAAATGTCTAATGTTTGCAAACCTAAAGAGTACTACCAATGACTGTAATTTAAAATATGTTTAGTTTAAGAAATACAGCCTCAATGGAAAGATATTCATTGATTCAGAGTGACTTGAATGACACATTATTAGCTTATTTGTAACATCCTGACAATCATTTTGAAGACTATTTGGGCAATATCAATAATACAATTATGCTTCCCAAATATGACCTAAATTTTGCATTTCTGGTCGATGTAGCGTGCAAATTAATGATAAGATTGCTAAAACTTGATCACAAAAACAATGAGAAGCACAGTATTTAATCGCCAGAGCTATTATTAAATATTAAAAGACCGCTATTATTTCGTTCTGCAAAACAATAATGAATGCTGAACGAAATTATTTGTATCGGTACAGTGTGTTCGATCCCTTCTACGACAATACTTTGTTTAAGCCCTTACAGATGAGCTTTTGTCGCCAGTTAAGCTTCCAGCTAGCTTGCAGTTAAGTGCAGTCTGGCCAGCCTCTGTACTGTCAGTGTGTGCAAGTACGATTGTGACTACTTGTATATGTCAATATTTTTCAAAATGGCCTAGACTAGTCAACGATATAATGTTCTTGTTTTTTACTTTTGTTAACCCTTGTGTGACGTTTAAATCGAAGATATGATATATTTGTCTCGCTATCAAACAGGCATTATCCGAAAATGTCAGTGATAACTTGTGAGCCTTTTTAATGTTTTACTCGACAACTGATCAATTGCAACCCATTAAAAAGGTAATAAAAGTAGTTTTCGCATGCTAACTATTTTGTGTCGATTGATCACATAAACGTAAGCGCAGATTAAACATTCATCTAACGTAAACAATAAAACACTAATCGATTTGTTCTATATATCAAAACGTGAGTGCAGTTGTACAGATTAAAACTTCAAACTACCATTTACATCAACAGAGGTTCAAGTTGAAATGTTTTGAAGATACTTCCACTCAGATAATGTACGGTGAACAAGTCTTTTATTTCGAAAATTTACTATTGGCACATAACCTTAACAAACTTAGAGGATCTTGTTTTTATATTTTAATGAATTTCCAAAAAACACAATTTCTGATAGTTTTGCATTCATTTGAAAAGCTTTTGAAATAAGTCTTAACTACGATCTTCCAATTATTTTAATCTACCAAATCGTTAATATCTGTTTATATTGTTACTGTTATCTGTGACCATATGTAAGACTTTTACATATGATTTGAAAATGATAGTTTCCCGTATTTAGATTTGACGGATATTGTAGATCTACAAAATATACAGAAACAAAGAAAAAATGGAAAACATGAATAATGGAAACAAAACTAAATTTAACCAACTTTTCTGACTGTTTTTATTACAGTCTTTTTTTTTTCGACATTTTAAACACATTGGAAGAGATTTTTAAGTATCATATTGAGTCAAATGTATCAATAAGTCTTATTTAATATTTCATAGACGATTTTATGTAGGTTATCTGCACTACGGTTACCGCATTGTCTGTCGGGCGTGCTCTTGGATTGTTGGAATGGCTTGGGTTTACTTATTGTGTTGACCGGGAAAGTAACCATGATAGAAAAATCATATTAAGATGGTTCAATGTTTCTGTGGTTACATATTGTGACGACAGGGAAGTGTTTTTATTTTTGCCTATCATATTAAAGAGAAACAACATCAATTTGACAACACTCGGCAATTTGATTTATACTCTGGGGATACGCCCCTCGTACAAATAAGATAGCCTCTTGTTACCATGGTCTTTTATTACTAAATTAAATATGATATGTGTTCAAGCTATTCAAATTAGTTCCTTATATTTTCAGAAAGCAAATATGTCTTGACGCAAAAGTAATTAAAAGCTAATTGAGAAAATTGATCAAAACTATTGTTAGAATAAACGCATATGATGCAGGTATAAAATATAGTGATTTTTAACGAGGGTTGTTGAGAAATTATGTACAATATCAATACTGTTGCATTTTGATGTGTCAGTCTACAATTGTTTTATGTATAAGTTATGAAAAGTAAATGAAACCACTTTTTGTAACTTCATTGTTTCAGTTTTTGTTTTCAAAGTAAAAATAAATAGTTTAATCTTACAGATGATCTGTATAAAATATTGCAGTTTATAAATATTTGTCTTTTTTTATATAAAATCCCTTTATGATTCAATATTTGATTAAGAACTCTTTGAACAATCCTCGTATAGACGTATAGGTACATTCAAGCACCAAATATGGTATCCTCTTTCGTTAACGCAATAACATACGTAAAGTTCAAGCAAGGTGTCTGCGTAGTTGTAGGGTCTATATTTTTATATATTTTCGTTTAATTAACCAGCAACTACTATCTAGATAAGCAATATTGTATTTCTAATTTAATGAATATTTTTATGATATAATGTTCCAATGTCATCCTATTTTTGTCAATATGATTGATTAATGTGTTGATGTAATGTACTTATGTTGTTTTGTTGTCAATAGTTTTGCTGATAAATCAGTTAGACTGACCATGATAAATGATATATTTACATGTAAACGGCTGTAGTATATTATAAAAGAAAGATGAATTTATGTCCATGACAAAATATCAGAATGAGAGGAAAATATTATGAATTATTACTGAGACTGTTATTATGCATTAAAATTTTTGATTTTATTTTTTATTATTCATTTTTATTCAATTTTTTATTTTGCTTTTATTTCTTAAGGTACACTTTAATGTCGGTAATATGTTATAACAGAAGGCATAAGAACAAATACAGATAGGAAGATCTAAGTTAACCAATCTATGATAATCGCTTTAACAAGATAATTAATCCTATTTCAGACCTTTCGATAGTAAATGTTACAAAAGAAATTTTAACACTATCAGTAACCATAAGCTGATTTGTCTTGAACTTACAGGGTTTCAGTTAATACTTTTATTAACAAGTAAACATTGTTTCATTGGATGATTCCAAATTTCGTTACACGAAATTAAAATTGATTGGTTAAAATTCCCTAAGGGAATTAAGGGTCACATGATGTACAGTAAAATTGATTGGTCTATTATTGTTATGGAAGTTGTTGTTCTAAAGTCCTTTCCTCTGAAGAGCCATAGATTGTATGACTCTGGTTTGAAATAGTTTAAAAAATAGTTTGAAAATAAATTGAGGAAAAAGGACATCTTTTTGTATTTTAGGTAAGTCAAATATTTTAAGTTAATGTTAAGAGAATGTTGTACTTTGTAATTTTTGGGTGTTATAACTTATGTTCTGACTTAAATGTATATGTAATTGTTTTAACTACATGTAGAAGTTATTTAATATATTACTTTCTTAGATAATAACTTAAGATTTGTTATTGGTAGCACTTGGCGTAATTGTTTAAACTTTTCGTTCAACTAGTCGTTTCGTTTAATTTGACCAGTTGGCATAATTTAATAGAAAAGTAAACATGGCGCTTTCTGTCAGTAGAATTTATTTCCGGAAACTTTATATTGTTATTATTTGGTGAGAACTTAAGTTTTAATCTTTATTATATGTTAGAAGGCAAGATGATAATAATTGGGAATGAAAACATGTAATAGATTATGAAATCATCATCTTTTGTTTAATATAATCAAGTTAAAATGGCATGTTGAATGAAAATTATTGAATTCTACTTTCACTTTGTTTAGATAATTTGTATGTGTAATATAATTCTATTATAATTTCAATCTTTAATATCTGTTTATGCTATTCTATATATGGATATATAAATTGTATGACTCTGGATTGAAATAGTTTAAAAAATAGTTTGAAAATAAATTGAGGAAAAAGGACATCTTTTTGTATTTTAGTTGTACAAGAATTCCCCTAGTACCAAAGCAGAACACTTGGTGGGGTAGTGGATGATTCCGACCTCTCAAATTAGCAAGCGAGTAACCAGTAAAATCAGCAAGCGAGTAACAAATGCCACTTTCGTCTAGACCGTCAAATTATAGTTTGAGAAGTGTACAAACTCCGCCTACTGAGCCAGAACAGCCACAAGACCTTGGTTTGCCAACATCAACAACACGTGAACCTGGTTTTTTTCCAATGGCAGGTGCATTTAGGATGGAGGATTTTTACGGGGATGGGACACAGGATATTGTCCGTTATCTGAGACGATTCGATGAATACGTTAGAGCAACGGCTCTTAAAGATGAACAGGCTGTCGCATCACTTGCCTGGCATTTGAAAGGCTTGGCAAGATTATGGTATGAATCGCAAAACATAAGACCAGAAAGAATAAATGAACTGAAAGATATGTTGGTTGCAAAATTCAAAATTGAAAAAGAAGCAAGTCTAGATATTTACACTATGAAACAGTCACCTGGTGAGACTTTGAACCAGTTTTTAAATAGGCTTGAACAAGCTACATACATCAACAACATTCCTGAAAATGTACAAGTTCAAATCGCACTTAAAGGTATGGAAGGGATGGTTGGCCAGGCAATGGGGGCGCACGCTCCAAAAACATTACAAGAAGTTCGAAATTTGGCTGCCAGGATGGGGGATATCCATGGAAACATAGGTGATCGTGCCCAGATTAATGTGACAGAAACTTCTAAACTTGAACAGACAGTTGAGCAGTTGGTAGCAGCTGTAACAAAGTTGACAACAGAAAAGAACCGTGAAGGAAACAATGAAGACAGACACTATAAGAATAAACAACAACAGGCTGTTCCGTCATGTCATCGTTGTGGAGGTAGGTGCTATTCTGCTAATTCTTGTAGAGCAATGGGCAAAACATGCTATAAATGTAATAAATTGAACCATTTCGGCAATAAATGTAGAAGTTCAAAATTCGGGCATAACAATAATAGTTCTTTTAACAAAAAGTCTTGGAACCAGTCAAATAATACACAATAGGGGTGCGTGCCTGTCTGCAGGTCACAGCCAGTAGATAGGCATAACAGTATAGTTTACAAGCAAATTGATAACAACTTAAACAGTGCTAAAACTAAGGGAAAACAAACAAGATTTTATGAAAGAAAGTCTGATAGTGCTCATGTGTCATATATTGATCCAAAATTTTCAACTATAATGACTAGAAACACAGTCTCTGTTAGTATCAATAACACAAATACTAGATTTACCTGATCATATTGCTATTACTTATGATCTACAATATTACACAACTTTTGGAAATCTGGAACTTCAAAAATGCAAGTTTAATAAAATTGTGCAGTGTGATTTTAATAAAATTCTAATGCCTGCTATTAAGAAATCTTGTGAATTCTCCTTGTTTAAAAATGACAAAATTTTAATCAAAGAAAATTGTAATTTTAGATTTTTGCTGAATCATATTTCTAATGATGTTGTTCTGCTATCTAAAGATTCTATATTAGTTTATAATGTTGATGTCCTTGAATATGATTGTAAAACTGGAAAGAAAATGGTTAAAGGTTGCAAATTTTGTACCATGAATGTGCCATGTGATTGTTCAGTTTCTACAAGTCATACATTTTTACCTGCAAGATTGACAGACTGCTATGAAAATACTTCAGCAAAATTACATCCTGTAAATCTTGCATTGCTACAACAATTTTTTAATGATAGTTCTTTGAAAGATATTGATAGTAATTCATTATTTGAAAATCCAATGGCTATAAATGTTCCAAAATTTGAAATTTACAATCACACTATGAATAAAATTTTAGCAGATGACAGCAAAGCTCATCTTAACTTACAAAAAATGGCACAATCAGCAAAAGAAAATTCACTTATTTATCAATCTCTCACAGATTCTTTACTGTCAGGAAATATTGCTTTGGATGATAATATTATTTCAACTAATGACATTATTTTATATGTAACAGCATCTGTTGCAGCATTTTCTCTGATTGCTTTCATAGTTACAGCATGTAAGCTTAGAAAAGTATTAATTATTGTATCTACATTACAAATCACTTGTACCAAACAAGTTAAAGCTTCAACTGTTCCATCATTAGTTTATGTAACTTCTCAACAAGCTACAACAAATGACATGTATTTTTGGGAGAAACTAAATTTAAGAAATGAGCACTGGATCATATCCCTTAATGTCATAATCATAATTCTTCTTGTTTTTGTAATGATAAATACTTGTAAAGTTTCAAGGAACAGTACTAAAATAGTGGTTGAAATCACTAATGGAAAACATTCTGTACAGGTACCACTTAAAACTCTAACTTTATGTCCTACCTACTGGCAAATAAAGGCACCTAAAAACATTGACCAAATAACAATCAGAGGTATGTGGACTCCAATTGTTACATTTGACTGGGATGATTTTGAAATAAAGAATAAGCTAACAAATCAACCATTACAGATAGAAACAAATTACAGGGTAAATTATTTTGTGTCCAGAAAATTAAGACATATTATGTCTACCACTTATTGTGCCTATTTCTTTATTCAACATGACAAATTGTTCATGCCTTTACAAACTTGGTAATACATGTTTATACCCATTGCTTTATAATAGTTAGTATAGATAGCACCACCTCAGACAAATAAATTGTATATATTGTTTTAGTATATATATGTGAACATTAATTTGTATTTTCATGAATTATCTTACAATGAAGACAGACTTTGACAAGATGAAAAGAAATAAATCAAATTGATGTCATATATTTTTATGTGTCGCATGGTGTATTGATATTTGTAAATATGTATATGTTTTCTTTCTATATAAAAAAAAAAAACACACAAAAAAACTGGTGAGATACTTATATGCAATATGCATGAGAATATAAATGGTATTTAATGACAGTTAAAAAAAAAATGCATTTATTTTGTTATTGTTGTAAATATGTGCTTTTGTTTTGTACTTTATGTAGAAAAATACTGATATAATGCTTAATGCATTTACTTATTTAAGTACACATAGAATGCTTAATGTATTTAAATTAATACAGTTTGGATATATTACTCCTGTACTCTTTATAGGAATAAAGAAAATTTAGAGGAGGGGGTGGTATTATGCATTAAAATTTTTGATTTTATTTTTTATTATTCATTTTTATTCAATTTTTTATTTTGCTTTTATTTCTTAAGGTACACTTTAATGTCGGTAATATGTTATAACAGAAGGCATAAGAACAAATACAGATAGGAAGATCTAAGTTAACCAATCTATGATAATCGCTTTAACAAGATAATTAATCCTATTTCAGACCTTTTGATAGTAAATGTTACAAAAGAAATTTTAACACTATCAGTAACCATAAGCTGATTTGTCTTGAACTTACAGGGTTTCAGTTAATACTTTTATTAACAAGTAAACATTGTTTCATTGGATGATTCCAAATTTTGTTACACGAAATTAAAATTGATTGGTTAAAATTACCTAAGGGAATTAAGGGTCACATGATGTACAGTAAAATTGATTGGTCTATTATTGTTATGGAAGTTGTTGTTCTAAAGTCCTTTCCTCTGAAGAGCCATAGATTGTATGACTCTGGTTTGAAATAGTTTAAAAAATAGTTTGAAAATAAATTGAGGAAAAAGGACATCTTTTTGTATTTTAGGTAAGTCAAATATTTTAAGTTAATGTTAAGAGAATGTTGTACTTTGTAATTTTTGGGTGTTATAACTTATGTTCTGACTTAAATGTATATGTAATTGTTTTAACTACATGTAGAAGTTATTTAATATATTACTTTCTTAGATAATAACTTAAGATTTGTTATTGGTAGCACTTGGCGTAATTGTTTAAACTTTTCGTTCAACTAGTCGTTTCGTTTAATTTGACCAGTTGGCATAATTTAATAGAAAAGTAAACATGGCGCTTTCTGTCAGTAGAATTTATTTCCGGAAACTTTATATTGTTATTATTTGGTGAGAACTTAAGTTTTAATCTTTATTATATGTTAGAAGGCAAGATGATAATAATTGGGAATGAAAACATGTAATAGATTATGAAATCATCATCTTTTGTTTAATATAATCAAGTTAAAATGGCATGTTGAATGAAAATTATTGAATTCTACTTTCACTTTGTTTAGATAATTTGTATGTGTAATATAATTCTATTATAATTTCAATCTTTAATATCTGTTTATGTTATTCTATATATGGATATATAGATTGTATGACTCTGGTTTGAAATAGTTTAAAAAATAGTTTGAAAATAAATTGAGGAAAAAGGACATCTTTTTGTATTTTAGTTGTACAAGAATTCCCCTAGTACCTAAGCAGAACACTGTCATGAGAAAATGAATTATTGCTATACTAATTAAAAAATATATTATGGATCATTTTGTGCTTGAATATTTATTGCTGTCATGGATGGTTTAAATGAATGGACTGAAAACATTTTCCCGAGATGTGTACATCATTCGATGTAGATCTGGATCAATAACTTTTATGCAAAAGTTTCGGATCATTGGCTCGCTCGGTTGTGTTTTAGTGTACTCATTTTTATTAAAGAAAACGTTCTTATGCTTTCAACTCAAACCCGGCTAAGAATCGTGCAAAAAATGATTTTCAATTTATTTATGATTATCTTTAGTATCCTTTGCAAATATATATATATATCTATATTTTGTTTAAAGTGCTTTAGACCTCAGTATCATACTGATGAAACAGTTCGTTTAAAGGGATACTCAGACAAATTAATGACAAAAATATTAAAATCTTCTTATGTACTCAAATCACTCTACAATGACATTTTTAATAGTCCGACAGAATCACCAAGTAGTTGTAAAACAATTCATGTAACTTGAAAAAAACCCATAGAAGTTACAGTAACATATATTGTGGATATTGTATGATTGAACCAAGTCTAAGTCATTCATTTGACACGTTCTTTAAAATTTATAGAGATCACTATGACTCGTAACCCTCTAACCTGACCTACGTGGGTCAAGTTAGGAAACCACCACTGAGAAAAGTTTATTCCTCCTGTGACTGCCCAGTGTATCCATTTTGAGGACATTTACAGAAAATGAATGAAAAATTCAAAACGAAGAAATGAAAATGTTGTATCTGTCTCGTCGAATTGTTACGTTATAATGCAGATGCCATATTCTTTCTCTGGTTTCCATATAATACATTTTAACACTAGCACAAATTTCTTTTCCATTATATACATATGTTTATATAAACCATTTCAATTTTTTTTGCAACACATTATTTTTCACTAAACGACCTAAGATGTAATTTGAAAACGGCGGAAAAAGATAAAACCAAAAGAAGTGTTAAGTACACAGACAACTGTTTGAGCGCTAACATGCATTTTATTCACGCCTGCATACGATATAGTGCAGATAAAATTTGACACTAACAATTTGTTTGGAGTGGATATTACATCAATATTTGTTTGAATTATCTTTAAAAAATAAACATTTAGATAAGTTAAGTTCAATAGGTATGTCAAGTAGGTCTGATATTGTATTTAACAAACTGTTTTATAGCATACATTTGAAATTTAAGAATCAATTTTATTCGATAAACCAGTAGAAACCCAATAGTTTAGCTTGTAATGTACTAAAAACGTATGCAATCTATCTGGCACATTTATTAAGTATACTACAAGATTAGAGGCACACACATTATAAAATTTCGGTATTTTTCGTCAATTCCAGAAGTAACAATACTGATATTTTGGTGTAAGCTATTATATAAAATTGTACAAAATGTATATTTCAAATTTGGTTGTAATTGTATGTCAATAGACATTCTTAAATTGATTCTATGTCAAACATAATATTTTACGAAAAACACTTTATTTTTCAAATGGATTCAAATAAATACACTCGTATAACAGATAACATTTTCAGTCTTTGTTAAAAGCAAACTTTAAAGTGGATATACTACTTTCAATTGGTATTATTTCAAGATGATTACAAAGAATTGGTGAGATGTTCCGAATAATGATGAAAAAATAAGGACATATTTGCGTTATTAGTAATTTGTTTCAAAACATAACGAAAAAGTTGTCTATGTAACTTGAACTTGAACTGACAACAGAAAACTAATATTGCGAAATAATAATAATAATTTCAAATTGATAAAGTATATTTGATATGATATCTGTATCTGCTGAAGTCCGTTTCACTGTAAGCGACGGCCGCAACAACAAAAAGAAATAACTTT